TATGCAGTCGTATAAGAAATTTAGCAAAAGAAAAACTAACGCGGAAAGGAAAAGCTAACGGGAAACACAGAGGAAACGCATAGAAGAGAACATAGAAGACCTATAAAGGAAGCAAATAGACGGGAGTGGATTAAAACGGATAGAAACAGCGAGAATATAAAAGATCGTGGAGCAGGACAGAAAAAAACACACAAAAAAACGAATAAAAGTGATAAAACGACAAAAATGAAGATAATAATTAACAACAAACGAAAACAAACGAACAAAAATTCGCGCAAAAATCGTAAACCACACAGAAGATCATATTAGAAAAGAAACGACGAGATCATCGAGAGCAAGAATCAAAAAAAAGAAGAAAATATTTAAAATATACAAGCCAACCACCATCGGCCAAGAAAAAGGATGGTGAATCAAGTGTACCAAGTGTACGCGTAAGAAGGAAAGGAAAACGAGGAATGAAGATGAGCGCAAGGGTAAGTGAAATCCAAAGGAGTGAGCTCTGAAAGAAAGAAAGAGAGAAAGAAAGAGCCAGTGAAATGAATTGGACGAAAAGAGACGAACGAAGCGTCGGTCGGGAGAAGAGGCGGAAGAGCGAGGGGAGAGGGGTGTGGAGAAACGAGAGGAGCAGCAATGCAAATATTCGCGGCGACAGAGATTGAAACAATCCGCCAATTAGAATCGTCGACGTGAACGGGATTATGCAGATTCGCGCGGTGGGTGCGCGGACAGAACCGGGAACGGACTGGCAGCTGCCGCACCGCTCGCTTAATTCAATCCACCGAGTTGTCTTATGAATCGTAAACCGGCCTTCCACTCCCCCTCCAACCCCCTCCACCGTGAAACTGAGACTACGCCGCGGGAAGGAATGGGATCCTCGTCGTAAGGAGGACGTGATCGTTGAGATTGGCAACGATTCCACGCGGATGGGACGATAATGCTCGTGCGGGTGAGGAGGAATCGTACGCTTCAGATCCAGAAATTTTTAAGGGGGGAAAGGAAGATCGATTGATTAGACGTGCGTTGGATAATGATAAATGGAGAATTTATAATCATGGGATGATAAAATTGGATAGAAGATGGTTGACACGTTTTTGCTTGGAGGATGAACGTCTTCGAATCAAACCTCTTTGCGTTTTTTTTTTTTTTTAACGGAGAAGAAGATTTTTACTTGGAAAATCGTAACTGATAATTAGAGATGATGAGACGATTGGACGAATCGCTATGACCGGTTTTACGCGTGTAATTGCACGCGTTTATCGCATACGCAATTCATCAAAACGATAGCTGTCTCGTTTTTCTCACGGTTAATAGCGTCGGGTCGATTATCTTCCTTTCCGAAAAGAATAAAATAACAAAGGTCATGGTGGTTAATGATGCCAATCAACACGATCGTATCCCGTTTTATGCGTATGCATCAATACTTTTATATTTACGTTTCGATTAAATTTTATTCGCAATTTTTATCGCATCGTACGCAATGCAATCCATTTTGAAAGGAATAATCACCTGTTAAACATATTTTCTCTTAGATTTTTGTATTTTCCGATATTGTCGTATCGCTCGTCCCAAGATCTTTCTTCTCGAGACAATGAAAGCATGAAAGAGGAATACTCTGTCATCCATTGAAGAAGCGATACAGAAGCGAATGAAAGTCGAAGGTTGACCGCTAGAAGGGGGAGATTGAAATGTATATTGCAATTTTTAAAGGACACTTAAATAGAATATTACGAGGGTTGCCGGTGAAAATGTGTTGCCATTGACTTTTAGGGGGTGGAAGAGGGAGGGAGAGGCTCTCAGAGCGGGGATAAATTGTTTCGTGCCAGAGAATCTCAAGTAAATACTCGCTTCTCGAGACTTTCCGCGAGGTTTCTTTATATCCCCGCCGGTAATAGAATAAAGAGTCGACCACGCAATGGAAATTCTCACTTTTTGCATAATTGACGTATCCTCGGGAGCGTAGCGGCACGTTGAATTATTTTATCCCGGGGTAATGTGATTTAAATACGAGGGACCAGGAGAGAAGATGCTGTAACGTTTCCATAAAGTATTAGAGGGGGATGTAAATTTCGCTGCAATTCCCTCCCTCCCTCCTCCTCCTCTCTCTCTCTCTCTCTGTCGTTGTATTTACTAACGTACGTGGTAAGAATAAGAAAAAAAAAAAAAGAAAAAAAGTAAAAAGAAAAAGGAAAAAGAAAACAAAGAAAGAAGAAGGAAGTACGAATAAAGT